CCCCCCCCCAGGTTGCTTTGACACAAAATTTAGGCTCCCACAAACCCCAAAATCCCTCTTCACCCTCCCAGCGGGGCGGCCCCGCTCCGGCGGGGCGGTCGGAGAGGATGGGCGGTCTTTCCTCTGCAAACTTTCCTTTTCCCCTCCCTCGCCGCCTTTTTTTTCTCCCCCCCCCCTCCTCCTCCTCCTTCCCTCCCCTTCTCTCCCCTCCCTTCGCCCCTCTCTCCATTCCCCGACGGCGATGGCTGAGAGGCCGGGGAGCATCGGGGGAGCACCTCCTCTACCCTCCTGGTTCTTGCCCGCTCCCCGAGGTCGTTCCCAAAGCGACATCTCCTCCTTCTCCTCCTCCCGGAGAACTTGCCTGCTCCGGTCCAACGTGGGCGGCTCAGGTAAGAGGGAAGGAGTGGGGAGGGTTCTTGTGTCCCAGACTCCCACCATCACCACCGTTTCGAGCTGAACTGGGGGAATTTGGGAAAAGACATCCTCTTCCACATCCTGCCCTGCCCTGCCAGAACTAGGGCTGCCTTATTTTGGTAGTCAAAGCGTGGGACCCTGTTTTACGGAGTGCTTGATTGAGGTGATTGCCTCATCATCACCTCGAGGTGATGCTCATCAGTTTCATACTCGTGTTGTCAGATTTCAACAGACCCCAGTAAACAAACAAGATGATGTTTGTCAACTTCGGGGCTGTTCATACCTGTGTTTTCAGCTTTAAATGAACTCCAGTAAAGTTGTGGGTACCCACTCATTCGCTGAAGCATCTCTGGCTGCGAGGGCAGAAAAGCCCCAGGATGGCTCCAAGATGTGTTGCATCAAAACTCCTCATCCTGCCACTTCAGACATTACACTTCAGTTGCGTGTTGTGATTTTGCCTCATGCATTTCTGTCTCCTTCAGGTTTTTCATCAGAAGGTGAGGCAAAAAAAATATTTGTGAGTCATTATCCCACCGTCCTCCTTCAGGAGATGACCACTGCGAGCGCACAGGGGATGATCTGGGGGTGGAAGCTGGTCCTTTGGGATGGAGTAGGCTTCCTGCAGGATTCGGAGTAGCTGTGCTGCGTAAAACGGGAGGAAGTGAGAGTCCTAGTTTACAGTGCAGATATTCGAAAGTGGCCAAAGTAAAATAAACATATACTCAGATGGGCTGTTCTTTACTCGGGCCGTTTCCTGAGGTCAGGTGTTAAGGAAAATGAAATTCTGGTCTCCACGCCGCTGAGCACGCCGCTTTGAAAATGTGTGGTGGCCTGTTTGCAAATCAGCCCTGCTCTGTTGACTAAAACAAGGCTGTAGGCACACACGTCCCTGGTGATGTAGGTGTTTTGGATGCGCTCGTACACTCTGCTGCATAGAGGTACCTACAAGGCCATCAGGGAAGGTCCAGAGTGGACTGAGGGACCTCCTGGCCTGCAGCACAAGTAGGACAGTGCAGTGCGTGGTCAGGTCTAAAGTGAACCACAGTATCCTCTTAGGTTTGCTCCTCAGGCGTTGTTAAGATGAAACAAGACCATTTGCTTAGGGAGGCTCAAATACATGGTTCTGCCTGCCTGATGAGGAGAGGGGGAGCGAAAACTCGTTTGGTCACATAGGAGCAGGTAGATTCAACTTGGGGAGCCGGAGGCTGTAAGCAAAAACAACTCTACATATCATTTTCTGCATCATTTTTCTGTTCCGTGTCTGCTTAAAAGTTACATTGAAGGACATTTGGGACAGGGAGGAGGTAGGACATTCCAGTGGTTTGTCCAAATCAGAAAGGACTACTTTTGGGTGTGAGGTGTATTTTGGTAGCATCTGGAAAAGTGCTGCATGAACAATGTCCTATGACTTGGTGTGTACAAGGTGCCTTAACCTGGATGCAGAGAGATCACCACAGAAGTTGACAATATTGAGACTATGTCAATGTTAGGCTACATTCGTTGTTGGTTTAACTACAAAGACTATTAACAATGTGCTGGGTTTATTAGAAGAGACTGGCAAATCTAGTGGAGGTAAAATGATGGTATTTTCAAAGATGCGTTGTTATTTGTGGTTTCTTACACACAAAATTTAGGTGTCCCTATTGCCTTACTTGATTTTTTTCTTTTAATTTTGAGGATGTGCTTCCTGCCAGCGAGTCACAAGAGTTGCTTTCTCTGGTTTTTATTTTTTTGACATCTTTTCTCTCATTCTGTATTTTCTCCATTGCTGCTTCCTGTACCTTTTTTTTCCAGCTGCTCATTGGGCACAACAAAAATACATGCTGCCACACAACTGTTGATTCCCTCTTTAAAAAGGAAAGTATGCATTAAGAGGGGTGCCTGAGCTGAATGACTGCCAGGAAGACCACTAAACCACCGTGCCTGGGGAGCTGCCCCAGGGCTTGGAGTTGAGAGGAGGGCACTTGGTTGCTTGGTGGGAAGCAGAGGCCGTGAAACTTAAGTTTCACATGGACATGTTTTCAGACTCACAGAATCACAGAATAGTTAGAGTTGGAAAGGACCTTAAAAGATCATCCAGTTCCAACCCCCCTGCCATGGGCAGGGACACCTCCCACCAGACCAGGTTGCTCAAAGCCCCATCCAGCCTGATCTCAAACACCTCCAGGGATGGGGCAGCCACAGCTTCTCTGGGCAACCTGTTCCAGTGTCTCACCACCTTCACAGCAAAGAATTTCTTTCTGGTATCTAATCTAAACTTCCTCTCTTCCAATTTAAACCGTTACCTCTTGTCCTGTCACTACACTTCCTGACAAAGAGTCCCTCTCCATCTCTCCTGTAACTCCCTTCAGATATTGGAAGGCTGCTAGAAGGTCTCCCCAAAGCCTTCTCTTCTCCAGGCTGAACAACCCCAGCTCTCTCAGCCTGTCCTCACTGGGGAGGTGCTCCATCCCTCGGTAGGCTTTGATTCAGACCCAGGGAGCAGCAGATGCTAAAATGGTTTCCAGGGAGGAGGTAGGACATTCCAGTGGTTTGTCCAAATCAGAAAGGACTACTTTTGGGTGTGAGGTGTATTTTGGTAGCATCTGGAAAAGTGCTGCATGAACAATGTCCTATGACTTGGTGTGTACAAGGTGCCTTAACCTGGATGCAGAGAGATCACCACAGAAGTTGACAATATTGAGACTATGTCAATGTTAGGCTACATTCGTTGTTGGTTTAACTACAAAGACTATTAACAATGTGCTGGGTTTATTAGAAGAGACTGGCAAATCTAGTGGAGGTAAAATGATGGTATTTTCAAAGATGTATTGTTATTTGTGGTTTCTTACACACAAAATTTAGGTGTCCCTATTGCCTTACTTGATTTTTTTCTTTTAATTTTGAGGATGTGCTTCCTGCCAGCGAGTCACAAGAGTTGCTTTCTCTGGTTTTTATTTTTTTGACATCTTTTCTCTCATTCTGTATTTTCTCCATTGCTGCTTCCTGTACCTTTTTTTTCCAGCTGCTCATTGGGCACAACAAAAATACATGCTGCCACACAACTGTTGATTCCCTCTTTAAAAAGGAAAGTATGCATTAAAGATGCAAAGCTGTTTAATTTTTAATGTGGTGGTTAGAGGATTGTTTTTATACCGAGATGCCATTGAAATAACCTGCTTTTTCATTCCCCCACTAACCTGGAGAACAACTGTAATGAGGACAGAAAGGTGAAGCACTTAGAGAAACAGTATGAGCCATATTATTATTTTTGCTCCTGCCTCTTTCTCTAGCTGCACCATTTGGTTAATTTAAAGTAGGTCACTCATTTACATCAGATGTTACCTGTGCTCCAGCTGCTCCGTTTAGAAAAGAATAATTTGCATTTTAAATAACTTGCAAAATGTTTGCTCTCTGCCTGTTCCTGGTGTGATTCACTTGCAACTGGTGAAGTCTCAAGTTGCAGTTTCTGTTGCATATTTGTCTTCGTTTTCTAGATCCCGACGCCAGTTGTGCTGAGAAGACGATCTTGTCTCCTCACACTCCATCAGCGATGGGTTGGCACCCCTATAGACACTTCATGCTGCCATTTATTCCACTAGCTCCTGACCTACCCCTCTCCATGCAGGATCTGTTAAGAGGCAGTATTTGTAGAGACCCTTCAAGCCAAGGGAAATATAATAGCCTTTCTAAAAGCAGCTTTGGCAGTGGCTCATAAAATACATCTGTTTGCTAATTTAGATCAGTACAGTGTGTATCTCGATGTGGTCCCCATGTTTGTGCTGCCTTTGCTTTCTTACCCCCACTCCTTCCCCTGGTGATTATCGTTTCTGCAAGTAGCAACTTCCTGGTATCACTTTGCAGCATCTCACTCCATCAGCTGCGGTCCAGTTTGTGAGGACAATCTATTTTCAGATTTTTCTTCATCTGAAAGCTGGCCTTCTAGGGTTGGTGATTCAGACCCAGGGAGCAGCAGATGCTAAAATGGTTTCAGACAATCCGTCTTTCGTATTTGATAGCTAAATAACGTGGCTCCTAAAAAAACAAAGTCCTGCCCTACCTTTGCTACTGTGCTGGTGGCTTCAGGGCAGCGAGGCTTTAATTCAAGCCAGAATATGACACGATTTGCCTGTAAAAAAAAATAATAAAAAAAGGCAAAATCTCCTTTTAAAGGCGCGTCGTAAAAGCCTGTTCCGTAAAAGGGACGCCAGAGAAAGGGAAACCGGGTTTTGCTTTCGCCGAAGCCGGTGTGTGACTCCCGCTTCTCACCCCAAAAGCGGGAGGACCCCCCTCCCCCCCCAAAAATAAACCAACCAACCAAAAAAGCAAACGTTTTGAGTCCCAGGGCTGTAAAACTGGTGGAAAAAAAGCCTCTTGCCTGCGTGAAGACACCCCCGGGGGGGGTGCAGACGCACGGAGGGAGGGGACGCGGGGGTCCCCCCGCGTCCCCTCCCTCCGTACG